CTTACAAAAACCTCTCCACATAACTTAGGATGTAACCCTGTTTCTACTCTATCTGGTTTCTTTGAGTAGCAAGCCTCTGCAACTCCTGGCCTACTGACACCCCAATGCGTGCTACACCTGTGCTTCTCTTGATGTCCACCAGCTCCCAGGAGTTTAAAGATTTTTGTCTTCAAAGAAGACACAACACAGGGCTTCTTTCCAACAAGGTGAAGGCATATCCTTAAATCTTATGGAAACTACTGCATGCCAGTTAGCATCTAGAAGGTCAAATCCCTCTAGAAGATTATTTTGTAAAGTAGACAAAATGACTAAGTGTTTATTTTGAAGAGCTCTGAAATCTGAACTACCTTTCTTGGTTTTATTTGTTTTTCAAAAAATAAGTGTCATATTAATCAAATCTGAATAAAGAATTCTAACCAATGATTTAAAAAAAATACCACATCTTCCCGCTCATTATCTAAAAAAAAAAAGTAACAAGAATGGCCACACAAAGGTGATAATTAAAAATCTGTCACACTTCTTTGGTGGAGAGCCTGCAGGGGGCAGAACCCATCACTTTGGAAACATTTTTACATACAACCTCCCACTTGGCTTTGAAGTGCATAGCTCTGGCCTGTCCCAGGAAAGGCATAAGAAAACTTCCTATATTGTCAAAGCTGCCCAGATTTGAGGATTAAAAAAACTACCATAGCACACAGCACTAAATCCATAATCAGAGCCTAACATCTAATCTTAGTAACATAAATGTAAGAGTGCACGTGTTTGTGACCAATCATATTTGTGCACATGTTTTCTGATAATCAAAAATCATTGAGATGTCTCCTTTGCATACACTAAGCTGTTCCTAAATACCATATTTAAACTCTTCAAGAAAATACATAATAACTGTATATTGCTATAACTTTTTCCCCACTAGATGAATGTTTGGAATGGCAGACCCGGGTTATAAGAGAACGTACACAGTATCAGAAGATGTGGCTTGTTGTGCCCTTTGCTAGCCAAGTGTCAGGGTCTGGATGGAAGACTTCAGTAAGAGAACTTCCATAGTTTTTACCCCAAGACTTTTTTGTCTTAACTGCCTCCCCACCCCTGCCTCATAGTTAAGCTTCAATTGTCTTCAGATCCTTAACCTAGTTTTGTACCAATGACAGAAAAACTTTTAAAGCTTTCAATGCAGCAAATCACTGGCTGGGCTGCGACACATGTTGCCATAGGTTCACCACCATAGTTCTACACAAATGGATTTATCTTCGCTAAATTCCCCATAATTGCCCCAAAGCATGCTTCCTTCCTTACATGTCAGGTGTCACTTTGCCCTTCATACTCAGGAGATCCTTCTCACTTTCCCTTCTATCCAAGACACTCTATCCATTCATGTGCTCTCATCTTAATCATTAAAGCAGGAAGGGATGGAAAATCTCAAATTTTCTGTTTCGTACCTGGATTCAAAAGCAGCATCTGCTATGTCTGTGGAACCATCTGTTGCCCACTTTGCCATGGAAAGGGTGATGTGGGTCTCAGAAGTAGAGTGTCGCAAGTCACAATAGAATTATCCCCTTCTTGGGGCTGACCCTCCCAACATATGCTCCATTGTCACCATGGCTAACACCATCCCACCCCCACCAAAAAGTGTATTTTCTCAGAGAGAATGCTATTTCTTTACTATTTCTTAATTCTCACAAAAAGGTCAGGCCCAGGGTTTAATTTTTTAGCTCAAATTTGCTAAAGATAAAGTTCTAAATTTTTACATCTTGACTTGACCCTAGAACTATGTTACTAATTCACTCAACACCTTTGTAGTCACCAAAACTCTGCCCCTCTCATCCATAAAATGCAATGAGCTCAACTTAGTGATCTTTGAGGTTCCTTTGTGCTCTAATACTCCGAAATCCTGACTTAAAGCCAACTCAAATTCATCAATGAATACAAGTTCCTTCACCTCCATGGCACAGAAAGACTTTTAATGCCAAGAATCTGATGCAGACAAAATAGCTTTTGTTTTGGTCTCTTTGTGTTGACCAAGAACAGCTAAACAAATTTCTTGAGGACCTAAGTTAATTTAAGATCTCTAATCTTACAAACCCCAGCAATACTCCAGTCCAGGATCTGTAGTGGGATAAGTCATTGTGTGTTCTGTGCTTTGCAGGATGTGTAACAGTATTCACTATAGGATAGTAGCAACCTCTTATCCCTAGTGTGACAACCAAAAATACACAGTGCCAGTAACCCCTGGGGATGAACCCTCAACTCCGCCCAATCCAGCACCAACTGTTGTAATGCACAGCATGACTTTAAAATAAAGCACAACACTTTGTAGATAGTGTTTTTTTGTGCCAAGTGGGTGATGGTTACACAACTAACAAAGAAAGCACAAGATTCAACAGAAGGTCAGATTATCAAGCACAGGTATTCTACTAGAAGATATACAAAGTCAAAATCTTTGCAAGTTGTTCATATCTGCAGTACTGCGTCCTTGCTAAGTGTTGGAAATTAACATATCCTAATCACAACTAATCTTACCCAACCATAATAACGTCACTCTTTAAAATCTATGAAAGCAATCACATTTCCCATCTAACTTCGCTAGTGCACTCCAGAATCAATCCTGTTTACAGACTTCCAAACAGAACTTTAAAGAAAATTATAGAAGCCAGAGTTTGGCTTAAAATACTGGTTTTGTCTCCTCCTTTCTTCAACACAAACACACTGGACATAGTGGCACAAGTGTAATCCCAGTACTTGAGAAGCTGAGACAGGATGATTGCAATGAGTTCAAGTCTGGGCTACCATAGTGAGTTCAAGACCTGCCTGAACTATGTAGCTAGACCCTGTCTCAAACTCTAATATGTAAACATACACACATACACACCCCATGGATAAGTAAAATTTCTGAAAAGTTTGCTGAAGTAGTCAGCTTTGGCTGGGGTTCTTGGAAAGAGGAATCCACAGGCTCTTAGCTCCATTTCCTGAGTATCTTTGCTTTCCCACTTCAAGCAGGGCCTCAGAAGACACCCCCTGCCGTCTGTCTCACCCCAAAGAACAGCAGCTGCCAGCTGCAGGAAACAGACTGAAGCCAGCAAATCGACTGAAATGACTACTCAGTCAAGCATCTCGTTTTTCCATTTGTGAAACCGTCTGGGATTTTCAAATCTTTGGGACTCAGAAGATGAAGGCTGTATTTGCTAATCAAGAGTAAAATCTCAAGTCTCTTGGTATTAAAGCAAACAGCAGTTTTCAATGTTTTGGAGACTAGGCTTTTGTAAATACATATGTTAATATATCCATATTAAATGTATACGATGAAAAAGAAAAACCCTCTTAGACAATCAAATCCAGGATGTGAACTATGAATAGACACAACTGTTACTTTTCAAAGAAACTTCGCTCTTTATTCAAACAAATATTTGCACAATTGAGGACAATGGCATCAGGCATATAGCTATTCTGTTAAAATAGTGGACAATCCTAGGGGTTTACAAATCCTACAACTGTGTTGCTACCCTACCAGGTCTTAAGAATTCAAGTGCTCCAAGGGCAAAAGTTTAACCCTGTAAAACTGTAAACCTGAGACTTCACTCAATTGAATGTAATCTCAGAAGCCCAGAAATGAATCTCAAACGTTCACTTAAACCAAACTGGTGAGCTTAAAGTTACAAGTCCAATACTTGAAAATCACATCTACAACTTGCACAGAAAAATAATGATGGGAAATGGGGCTGATAAATATTTACGCTAACCGGAGCGCACATTTCTATGCCTCTTCTCGTTCCCTCCCAGTCGTGCCGCGCCACGCGTTCTAGAGCTCCTGGAAGGTACTCTGGAGTTGTAGAAGGAAGACTTCAGGCAAGGAGGCCGAGGCCCGCCTCAGCAATTCCCAGCCCCAGGCAAGTCTGCCTACAGAAAAAAGCTGCGGAGGTCCTTCCCTCTCTCACTATGTAGAAAAGGTAAACGAGGAACTGCTGGAAGCTGGTTCGACTCCCAAAGCTCTTTCAAACAGGAAACCCCAGCCCGGGGAGGGACAGCTTGTCAGCCTTTTAATTTCCTGGCGGTGGCGGGAGTTAGCCAGGTCTTCAGCTCTTTAACAAGAGACGAGTGCCGGTATGAAGTCAGTAAACGCACCAGCCAGCTTCTCAGCTGCTGCTCCGCCGGAAAGGGCGCTGGTGAAATTCAGGGGCGCTGGTGAAATTCAGGGGCTTTCCAGTCTCAATTCCCAGGGGCACGGAGACTGCTGCCCCACACACTTTTAAAGGGCTCACGGCCAGATCGGTTTCAGTCTTTTAGGGTCGCCCACCCCCATCCCGAGCAGCACTCTGGAAACAAAACGTAGCTCTCCAGAAATCTGGGGATGAGGGTACAGAAAGGGCTCCTCGCAATCTCTCGCACTACACCGTGAAGCTGTGGACCTTTCCTTTTCCTGGGATCGCGATCCCTTTCTCATCTAGAGCAACCGTGTAGTCAGAAAAAGCTACCCCCGGGAACCCCCAAGCCCGGGTGTTCTCTACGTTCACTCTGGAAGCGTCTTTTCTATCCAGACACCCCTTCCCCAGGATACCCCTACCGGAGGCGCACTCAGCCCACAGCCCCTCGAGTCGTGCACAATGGGGATCAGAGTGCCCTAAAGCTGCGCAGCCCCGAGGCCCCAGGCGTTTGTCCTGCAGACTGGAGAAGTTAAGAAAGGTTGCGCCCCGGGCGCCCACTCACCGGCTCATCTTTCTCCGAGACGCGGCTCTCCGCGGCCCCGCGCCC